ATGTTTATCAGTGTTGACTTTTTCTTTTTAGTCAAACATAGAAAAAAATTCTTTGAAGGGATTAAATTTTCCCCTGAAGGGGCTTTACTCGTGAAATAGTAGTAAACAGTTATATTTGTATGAAACGGCCAGAGTTAAAGTTGTCCATTCTGGCCAAGGGTTGGAACAATGAATACTAATATTCTTTTGGGGGGCTGCTGTTCATTTATCTTAATCAAATTACTAGATGACAGGATTTAGGAACTTGCTACATGCTATTATGTGACATTACTGATAATCATTTAAAAATACTTTGTCATACAAAAAAAAGTCTACTCAAAAACTATAGATATTACAGTTAAACGTTATGCATCAATTTCCTTGACAGGAGGATGTCATAGATATCAAAAACAACGTTTAGAAGTCAAAAGAAAAATGTTTCCCACTGAGATTAAGGGATTTCTGACTCCTTAGAATGCCTGGTTCCCTACTGTCAAACAAAAATTTCAAACGGGGGAAAAAAAATCATGTTCAGTAAATCAGAAAAGTTAACAAAATTAGATATATTTTAAACTCATAAATTCCTGCTTCCAAAAATACTCATCTACTTAAAAATAGTCTTTGAGTGCCTATAGAGCAGTAGACTAACACATGGACTCCAGAGCCACATTACCAGAATGTACCTGGTACCTAAACCAGAAAACAAGGAAACTGAAGAGAAAACTGTACCTCAGCTTACAGGCTAACTGCCCTCTCTTCCTTCAATATCATATTTCTTATTATTCTGACTTGATAACAGGATGAACAAAGTTGTCAGACGAAGAATGCTAGTGGGGTTGCAGATAGGGGACTTGGGTTCTTGGGTTCTTACTCAGTTCTAACAATTGAGGAATCTAGCTGGGTGTGGTAGTGCACACCGTTAATTCTAGCAATCTGTGAGATCAAGGCCAGCTTGGTCTATGTAATGGGTTCTAGGCCAGTTGAGGCTATAGGGAGATCCTGGCTCAAAGGAAAAAAAGATGAGACATTTTATTTTCTCCCAGGTCTAATTATAGACAGTTGATCCTACCCAATTACCCAATTTATCCTAAATTTCTAATGTTCTACTTATTGTAAGGTCCTTTCTAGATGTGCACAAACACCTACCCTGCTGTAGTAAGATTTACCCAGCTACATGTACATGACTGCAGATTAATTCCTTAAATAGGATACCACAGTCCCTATTCTGTTCTTAGGGGCAAGCTCTATAGTTAAAGGTTCGAGGACATGAACTGTTCCTCCGTATCCTCTATCATCTAAAGAAAGGAAAGTAAAAGCTCTTAGAGGACATGGCAACCCCTCACCTCCCCAGCTTTGGGGGTTTTGTTTTTGCAGTGCTAGAGATTGAACGGGGGGTGGGGTGGGGGGTAAAAGTTGAGCGGAGGGCTTCAAGCATGGAAGCCAAGCATTCTATTACTGAGCACTTATCTCCAGCCTAGCTTTCAGCTTCAAGACCTACACATAGCCTTTATTTTCTTGTATACAACTGTTCGGTCTACAAGTATTAGCAAATACTAGCTTGGATGAGCTGTTTAATACTGAATTTAAAATGCAGTACTTTCAATTATTTTTCTAATCTTACTCAAAAGTAACTACTGTTTTTCCATGTTAGATAAGTGGATTTTTTTCAATACAAAATTTTATTTGCGTATATTCATTGCAGAGTAATGGTTCTGCCCTCATGTGCGTGTGCTGATGCGTAAACATCAGAGGAAGTTGGGTGTTCTGCTTTATCAGTCTGTCTTACTACATTGAGACAGGGTCTCCCTGAACCTAGAGTAAAACTGTTAGTCAGCAAGCCCTAGCAATCCTGTCTTTCATTATGTTCCATAGCACTGGGGTTACATGCACAAGCACACTCAGGTTCAGCTTTTAATGGGTGCTAAGGATTTGAACTCAGGTCCACATGCTTGAGCAGCAAGTGCTTTTACCCACTGAGCCATCTCCCCGGCCTGTGATAGGTTTCCTTTCTAAAAGAAGATTTATTTTTATGTGTATGAGTGTTTTACCTGTATATATCTCTTTACACTATGTATGTACAAAGGCCCCAGAAGCCAGAAGGCGGCATTGGACCCTTTAGGCCTGGAGTTACAGACAGCTGTGAGGCACCATGTGGATGCTGTGAACTACCCACATCCTCCACAGAGCAGCAAGATCTCTTAATGGCTGAGCCATCTCTCCAGTGTACCCCTCCCGTAGAGCTCTAAGAAATTTTTATACAGATTAAGTGTACTGACCATATTCACAGCCTCCTTTCTCTGCACACACACTTAGGTATTATAATTCATTCATCCAGTCTCACTTCTTTCATGTGCTACATACATTTTATGTGTCTAAATAAAATCTAGGATTCACAAAGGAAAGAAAACATATTTGTCTACATAGGTCTGACCTATTTCAGTGGACATGATGATCCCTGGTTGTATCCATTTTCCTGAAAATGACATCTTGCTGTTCTTTGTGGCTATGTACATACACCATATCGTCTTTATTCATTCATTTGATTCATTTGCTAATGAGCACCTAGGCCAATTCCATACTGACTACTGTTGAGTAGTACTGTAATAAATCCAGATGCACAAGTATCTCTATGGCATGCTGATTTAGTCCTTTGGGTACATGCCAGTGAGTGGTATAGCTAGGGTATTTGGTGGTACTACTTGCAGCTAATAAGGGCCTCCACACTGATTTGCATAGTGGTTGGACTAACATTTCCCTTTCCCCACATCCTCACCAGTATTTGTTATTTGTTTTCTTAGCGATAGTCATTCTGACTGGAGTGAGATGGAATCTCAATGTTTTAGTTCTCATTCCCCACACCAGAATTTCTTGTTTGGGGAATGGGTTATATGTACACACTCACATGGATGCGTGAGGTTAAAGGTCCACCACCAGCAATGTCTCTCCACCCTATGTTTTAGGACCACCTCTCACAGAACCTGGAATTCATAGCTTCAGCTACATTAGCTGCGCAATGAGGTGCAGGGATCCTCCTGTATCCATCTTCCAGCACTGGGATTATAGGTACATGTTGTTACATATGGCTTTTACATGAATGCTGGGAATCCAAATCTAGGCCCTCATGTCTGGGCAGCAAGTCATTTTCTGCAGTGAGCTAAATCCCTAGCTCCTACATAGATAGCTTTTAAGAATGGTAACTTTATTCTTCATTAATAGCTGCATCCAAATTTAAACCAGTTAATAAAGAAAACTTCAGGAAACCATGTAAGGCAATACATCCATGTGACCATCTCAAAAACATCTCAGAGCCAGGCGTGGTAACGCACGCCTTTAATCCCAGCACTTGAGAGGCAGAGGCAGGCGGATCTTTGTGAGTTCAAGGACAGTCTGGTCTACATGGTGAGTTCCAGGACAGCTGGGCTACAAGGAGACCCTGTCTCAAAAAGACAAAAAAAAAAAAAAAAAAAAAAAAAAAAAAAAAAAAAAATCTCAGAATAAAATCACTACCACTTTTCCCCCCAAAGATCTTGCTTTTGGCTATCAAGTCCTTGAAAGTGGCTTTCCTTAATAAATTTATTCTTATGATAGTTAAAAGACTTGTTCAAAGTATCTAGGTTATTACACAAAGTATAAACTATAATAAAAACTTCTGGGCTCCTAAGACTAGTCATTTTTCCATTATATCATATTTCCTATGGATCAACTTCTCAAATCTAAAGGATAAGGTACAATGTGGCACAAGGCAAAAAACCTGCATAAAGAATACAGTATATAATTAAAGGCAATAAATAATTAAAGCCAAATAAATGATTATGACAACAGTTGCTATTAAAGTTCAGAGACTGCTATGGGCTAGAGCTGGTAAGTAAAACAGAATTTGAAGTAATGATGAATGAGAAATTTTCCATTCTGAATTTCATTCTACAGAGAAACTCAGTCCCTCTTACAATGCTAATTGATAACTGAACGTCAGAGGAAAAGAAAAATATGAACTGCGTTCAGAATTATGGTTTAAATTTGGACTGTCTCCCCACTGGCTCACATTTAAGTCCTAGGTCTCCAGCTGAGGATGCTGTGAGAAGTTGCGGGGCCAGTAGGAGGGAGAGCCCAGCTGGAAGAGGAGAGCAGACCTGTAAAGGTCATACCAGCCCCTGGTTCCACTCATGATCTATGCTCTGGCTTTGCCTCTGTATGAACAGGCCCTGCCATGAGATGCCAAGAGACACTACGAACAGAGCTGGTTCTGCTATGCCTGCCCCACATCGAGTTAGGACCCTCTCACAGCAAGAGCCAAAATGAATTTTCCTGTGATGTTTCTGTCACACAGTTTTTCACAACAAAAATAATGACTACAGAAATGTACCTAGCTGGGATTTGTTTTGTTTTTCTGACAGGCTCTCGCTATACAGCCCTGGCTGGACTGGAACTCGCTACGTAGACCAGGCTTGTATCAATTTCACAGAGATCCACTTGCTCCTACCCGCTGAGTGCTGGGATTAAAGGCATACATCCCCATGCAGCTAGGATGTGAATACATGGGAAGAAGAAAGGATATTTCAGGTAGGGATAATTTTAGTCAAATTTTAGAAACAACCAAATTCAAAAAACAAGGAATAAATCCTTTAAATGACTAAGCTGGGGTGAAGTGGGACAGAATATAATTAAAAGAATTAAACTTTATTCTATAGGCAAGTAGGAAGAATGGGTTTTGAGCACTTTTCTTGAAGAGTATGAGACAAAGAACACAGTATCTGAAATGTTTATCAATTGGAATTCCAATGCTGCAGTGAAAAGTGGGAAAGACACTGTCATAAAGAAAGGGGCGAAAGAGGTGCTTTGTAAGTAGACCGTGAGAATTAATGAAGGTAGATGTAGAGTTTAAAAAATGGTGATATCTTAAATTAAATCATGCATTCAAGTTCTGGAAAACGGTTGACTGAACTTTCAAGAGTCCAAAGGAGTAAGTCTACGTAAAAAAATTGACCCAACAGTCAATGTACTGTCTGGATGCAGCAGCTTACCTCTCTAGCAGCACAATCATGAGGCGCTTCCTCTTTGTTCACTTTTCCTTTTGGAAATCCCCAGCCTGATTTTGCTAAGTACCCCTGAACCAGTAGCACCTGCAAAACAAGCAGAGATTTTAAAAACAAAATAAAACCTACTTTCCTTTCCCATGCTCCTTTCTAAAACCAAAAGTGCTTTTCTCTGTATTTCTGGAAACTATTTATCACTAATAATTAGACACAGTATTTGACCTAAGTATATTACAATAATATAAACATACTACTAGTAGTGTTAATATATTTTGTCTACTTAAAAATAATTTTTGAATAACGAGAAATTGCTTCTCATGTGATAGTTCTTCACGTTAAGCTCTAAGAAATACAAAACTTTTTAATAGCTAGGTGTGGTAGTACACACCTTTAATCCCAGCACTTCTGAGGCAGAGGCAGGCGAATCTTTCTGTGTTTGAGGCCAGTCTGTTCTACATAGTGTGTTCCAGATCAGCTGGGGCTACAGAGATACTCTGTCTCAAAAAGACAAAAAAATAAAATTTTAAGACACAGAATTCAGACAAAATACCCCAAATTTAGTCTTTTAACAAAACAAAACAAAACAAAACCAAAAACAAAAACAAAGGTTTTTTGTTTATTTTTTGAGACAAGGTTTCCCTGTAGCCCCAGCTGGCCTGGATCTCAGAGATCAGCTTGTCTGCCTCCTCAGTTCTGGGATTAAAGGCATATACCACCACGCCCAGCTCTAAATGTATTTTAAAACCTCAATTCAGACTATTACATTATCAATTTTGTTAAGAGGATAAAAATGAGCATTTGTTCACATTTTCACTAAACTCTTATTTTCTCACTCACATTTTCAAGCGTCTCATCAAGAATAATTGCACCATATGTTGGTACTCCCATTTTGTATTCTTTCCATTCATCCAAAATTTTTTCCACATCTTCACCTTGAGGCAGCAAAAATGGACAATGACTAAAGAGTATAAATAGTGTTAAGGAAACTACTTTTTCCCTTTAAACAGCTTAAGAAATTATATAGAGGAGGCTAGAGAGATGACTCAGAGGTTAAGATCAATTGCTCTTCCAGAAAACCCGATGGAGTTCATTTTCCAGCACCCACATGGGGGCTGAGAGGTGGGCTCACAGCCAATCACCTGTATCCCCAGCTCCTAGGGACTCAACACCCCATTCTGTCCCCCATGGGCACCTTCATAAAGGAAACACATACTCACACAAATAAAAATAAATCTTAAAAAGTTTATATACAGAGATATTTAAATCAACAGTCCATTTTATAGGAAATTACTTGAATGTTCACCTTTCTTAGGTTTAACATTTTCCCCTTTCTAGTGATCTGTTCATTTTCCTTTGAACAGATCATTGTTATCTTTCTGCATTGAACCTAGACACATCAAATTTTAGATTAGTCCTAGATTCCTGAGTTAATACCTCAAGTACCTCTCAGTAAGTGAATCAAATTCACAATCAGGAGTCAACATACTAGAAACGACAGCAAGAAAAAGTACATACATTTTGCTAAAAGTTTGCTTCACTGTAGGAAGCAAAACTAAGGCTGAAGTACACACTGTTGTACACTGCTGTTCTTTACCAAATACATGTATTTTTTTCTTAACATTTTAAAGATGGAGGCTTATTAAAGGTTATAAAGGGAAACCAAGCACTATCCGTTTCAAAAGAAACTGGGTTGCCCCTATAAAATAGAACAATATAAAATATTATGAAAAAAATGCTAAAACCAAACAAACAGAAATTGTACGCTCAGTCTTTCAATACTTCATGCTGTCAAAGGCCTCATCACTGTAACACTGAAACTGTCCTGAGTTACTCAAACTGAAAATCTGTTGCTAAGTGTAATCATGTCCTCAAAAGTTTAAATATTCTGGGGCTATAAATGGCTCAGTGGTTAAAAGTACTTGTTGCTCTTGCAGAGGACCTGAGTTCAGTTCCAAGCACCTACATGGTAGCTAACAACTAATTCAAACTCCAGTTCCAGGGAATCTGACACCCTCTTCTGGCCTCCATGGGCACTGTACAACCTGGGTATACTTACATACACACAAAACACTCATACACATAAATAAAAATAATTAAAAAAATGAGTTTGTATATTCTATCTTGATTTGATGTTAACATTAAAAACATGAGTTGTGGGGGCTGGAGAGGTGGCTCAGTGGTTAAGAGCACTGATTGCTCTTGCAGAGGATCCAGGTTCGATTTTCAGCACCCACATGGAGGCTACGAACTGTCCTTAACTTCAGTTCCAGGGGAATCTGAAGCCCTCTTCTGACCTCTGCTGCATTGCACGACATGGGTACACTCATACCCATAAAATAAAAATAATAAATAAAAACATGAGTGCACATAATGAGTTCCAGGACAGCTGGAGCTGCAGAGACCCTGTCTCAAAAAGACCGGGGCAGGGAAAAAAAAAAAAAAAAACTCCCCAAAAACCATGAGTGCATTTTCAGTTATGTAGGATGATCATATCACCACTCGATTTCAGAGACCATATTGATACTAAAACTTTTTAATATTTTATTATTTTTATTTTATGTGTATGAGTGTATTGCCTGCATGTATGTGAGTGCAATGCCGTGGAGGTCAGAAGAGGACTTCAGATTCCCCTGGAACTAGAGTTAAGGATGGTTTGTAGCCACCATGTGGGTGCTGGGAATCAAGCCCAGGTCCTCTGCAAGAGCAGTCAGTGCTCTTAACCACTGAGCCATCTCTCCAGCTCCCTGATACTAAAACCTTTAATTGCTGTGGGCTACTAAAAATAGAAACCCAAAGGCTGAAGAGATGGCTCAGTGGTTAAGAGCACTGGTTGCTCTTGCAGAGGATCTGGGTTCAGTTCCCAGCATACACATGAAAGCTAACAATTGTCAGTAATCCACTTTCAGGGAATCTGACACCCTCTTCTGACCTCTGCAGGCACTATATGACATGGGTGCACTTACATACATGCAAGCAATACACTTATACACATAAAATAAAAATAGTAAACAAAAATATGAAGATTTCATACCGGATGGAGCAGAACTATAGTACAGGCATGACTGACTCAGGAAAGCCTTTAAGTCAGTACTAATTACTTCCAGTGCCTAAAAGTATGGACAAACAAGGCCAACCATCTATGATATCATAACTAAAATACAAATGCAAGGTTAATCTCCAGATAATTATTTCATGCCTGAATTTGGGAAGGGAATTTAAAAAACGAATATAAAAGGTCTGGTTACATTAACCTTCCTATACACACTTGTGTTTCTATAGGGGTGAAGACTCTGAAAGGACTTCCCAACAAAAATCTGGCTTTACACATTCAGTAAAATTCATCAGACTTTAAAAAATCTAACCAAAGTATGTTTTAAACAGTTAAGTTAGACCTTATTCCTTAAAAAATTAACTACAAGTACTTAATATTTCGGAGCTATTCTGAATATTTTTCCTCCTTTCTTTCTCTGGGTATTTAGGAAAGTTACTACTGTTTTTTGCTTTTTTTCTTTTTTCTTTTTTTTTTTTTTGCTGTTGTTTGTTTAAAATTTTACTGTGCTTATTATCCCTGGATGTTCCCTAGTATTCTATCAAGCTATCTGCAAATAGGGATTGTTTGAATCCTTCTTTCCTTCCTTTCCTCCCTCCCTTCTTTTTCTTTCTTTCTTAGTTTTATCCCCTTTGTGCCTTTCTTTTGTCTAATTGCTACAGTTAGAAATTGGAGAACTATAAGAGAGGGTAGAGTGGGCATCCTTGTCTTGTTCCTGATTTTAAAGGAAAAACTGTCAGTCTGTCTCCATTTAATATAATGTTGAGTATAGGTTTTTTTCATATATAGCATTTATTATTTTAATGTATGCTCCATCTATTCCTAGTTTTTCAGGATTTTCATTATGAAAGCATGTTGAACTTTGTCCAATGCCTTTTCAGCACCAATCGAGATGATTATATAATTTCTGTAATTAAGTCTGTGTATATAGCATATTATACTTATTGACTTACCTGTGTTGAACCAATCTTACCTTTTTGGGAAGAAGCCCACCTGGTCACATCCATTCAAAATAGCTCAAAAAAAAAAAAATTACATACCTAGGAATATACCTAACCAAAGAAGAAAGACCTCTACAATGAAAACTTCAAGGCACTGAAAAAGGAATTCAAGGAAGACACTAAACAATGGAAAGATCCTCCATGCTCCTGGATCAACAGAATGAATACTGTGAAAATAGCTACAATACCAAAATTAATCTATAGATTTAATTCAATACCTATCAAAATCCCAAAGTCATATTTTACACATCTAGAAAAAAAAAAAAAACAACCCAAAACTCTTATGAATCATAGAAGACCAAAAACAGCCAATGCAATCCTAGGGAATAAGCACACAGGAGGAGGCATCACAATACCCAACCTCAAATTATACCACAGAGCTACAGTGATAAACACAGCCTGGTATGGGTATAAAAACTGACAGGCAGACCAATGGAACAGAAGACTGGAAATAAACTGACAAAGCTATGCCTACCTAATTCTTGTTAAAGGAGGCAAAAACATAGTGGAAAAAAGATAGTCTATTCAAAAAATGGAGCTGGCAAAACTAGATACCACCTGCAGAAAACTGAAATTAGATCCACATCTTTTACCTTGTACAAAAATAAATTTGAAATAGATCAAAGGCCTTGATTTAAAACCTCAAGCTTCTACATGAAAGGAGGATATACTCTTCAGGACATTCAGGTAGGCAAGGACTCTTCAGGTAGGTAAGAACTTTCTGACTAGAACATCAGAAACTGGTCCCAAGTATCAACAGATGGGACTATATGAAATTAAGGGTCTTTTCTGTATAACAAAGGAAACCAGTAGCAGAGCACACAGGCAGCCCACAAAATGAGGGAAAATCTTTACCAGCCATACGTCACACAAGGGGCTAATATCCGGAATTTACAAACAGCAGCAAAATCCCAAAACAAAACAAAACAATACAAAACCCCCATGAAAACTGCAGAAATTAAATACTAAGGAAATAAAACTACCAATGAACAAAAGGACTAACGAACTGACAGTTTAAAAAAAAACACACACACAAATGGCCAAAAACTGTTTAACATCCCCAGTCATCAGGGAAATGCAAACTAAAACTACTTTGAGACACTACCTCACTATAGTCAGCATGGCTATCTTTAAGAAATACAACATCAAATGCTGAATGTGGAGAAAGGAACCCTTACTGCTGGTGTGAGTATAAAGTCATACTACATTTTGGAGGCTTCTCCTAAAAATTAAAACTAGAATTATTATATGATCCAACTATTTAACTCCTGGACATAGACTCAGAATTCCACACCTTAGTATAGAGATATTTACACCCCCTGCTGCTCTATTCACTATAGCAGGAAAAGAACCAAAATACTTGTCCATTAACAGATGAACTGATAACAAAAATCTGGTACATACATAAAATGGAATATTATTCAATTCTAAAGAAAAATAAAACTGTGGCTGGAGAGATGGCTCAGCAGTTAAGGGCACTGGCTGCTCTTGCAGAGGACTGCGGTAAGGGTCCCAGCACCCACATGGCAGCTAACAGCTATCTATAATTCCAGTTCCAGGGAACATGGCACCCTCTTCTGACTCCCTCAGGCACTGTTACACAGTAATCCCGATCTAAAATCCTACCATTACCTTATATGACTCATCTCAAGTTCAGGCCTCAGCTTTTTCACTTCCTTGTCTTTTGCACCCATTCCCAGTGCTGGGGTAAATCCTCTCCACAATGAACCTTGCCTTGATTAAAAACATCCTGAACATAACTTTCTAAGCCTTCTTCTAATTACTTCCCCTATGTTATTCTATTTCAGTCAACTGTTTTCCTTTTTACTAGCACCCTCTTGCTTTATTTTCCTTCCTAAACTGATCTATCATGTTCATCAGTCTCCTAGTACTACTGTCAATTCCTTTTCCACCCTGTAAACTTCAGGCTCCAAGAGCAAACCCAGGATACCTCTGTCTCATACCAATAACTCAGAAAAGACAGTCTCTTCATTCCAGTATAACATAGATACACAAACTTAACTTTGTCCAAAATTAACCCATTAATTCCCCACAAAATTTCTCTTGAAGAAATCAAGTTGGAACTGAGCTAGAAGGTTCCTCCCTGTTGGCAACTTTCATGCCATAAAGTACTATGCAGGTTGTTGGGGAAGAAAACTCATCAGCGGTCTGACCCAACTGTGGACCCTGCATCCTATAAAACTGACCTGCCAGATAAGGTATGCCCATTGGTGCAATAGTGGCAGGTCTGTTTTGGGGATAACCACTGCTTTCTGATTGAATCCGAGGTTCACTACATAGGATGGGATACATACCTGGTACTGTAACTAGGTCAAAAGTCTGTGGCAGGAAGCCACAGGCCCTAGTGGGGAATCTACTACTGATGTTTTGCTAAAGGGACAGGATACCAAACTGCTTTCTAAATATTCATGTTTATAGCCATGAACCAGTACTGCTCTCAGCCGTGGTTACAGAAGCTTTTTCTTACAGTGGCAAAGGTTAATTTAGAGACTTATAAATAGCTAAAGTTCTCAGAATAAGTGATTTTTGAGGACTCAGTCCTAAATGGGACATCCATATCACTCCCTCCAGGGCCCGGAGAACATCATGGAAGAGAGAGTGGAAAGATTCTAAGAGCCAGAGGTTGGGGAGGAGTGCTGTCAAACTGTCTTCTGGACATGACAGGACTGAGGCAGCCAAGGACACATGAGAGCTCTGGCTGCCTGCACAGGACATGTACAAAAAAGCAAAGCAAAGACACAGAAGTAGGCGGGAGACTAGCTGGGAAGAACTGGATCAGCAAGAGTAGGAGAAGGCTAAGAGGGGGATGACGGGTGAATATAACAATATACTGTTTACATGAATGATACTGTCAAATTATTTAAAAAACACTCCTTTATTTCCCGAGAATGAAATGCACTCATCCAATCAACTGTTGACAATTCCAGGAATTCAGATATCAACACTCCTATTCCTCAGATATCCAAGTTATTACTAATTTTACCTCCTAAATGTCTTTAAATTTTGAGCTCTTCATTAACATTTATCACAAGCATTTGTTCTCTCTCTTGTAAATTAAATAGCATCAACTAGGTTCAGGGTCCAGTCTTGCCTAGTCCCAGGTTCCCTGCCAATGCTGTTCCAAAGTAGATCTTCAGAACATGGTTAGAGAGAAGTGACCAAAAATGTGACAAGTGAAGAGATGATAACACAGGAAGGGTGTGATGATGCAGTTCACTAGAACATTCTTTCACTTTCTCTGTAAGTTGGCTTTGTGGCTGGGAGGAGGGCAAAGTAAGAGGTTTAAAACCTACAGCTTCTTTCTCAAATATGACCCACAAGAATCTACATATTTAGTTTTGAATTACTCTCCATTATCTCTTGCTCCTTTCCAATATAATTTACTTCTTTTTCACTTCATGAATATTTTTCTTAAAAAGATAATTTTCTCCAAAGTATTTTATTTAAACTCAAAATATTTTTCAGAATTATGAACACTTATTGGTCTTTACCTATATACCAGTTACTGTCCTAAACAACTGACATATACAAATAAGCCTGATTTCCAAACTTACCCTCTGAGTTAGCCAAGATTCACCTATCATTTAGATGAAAAAGTAAACTGGAACAAGAGAAATTAAAGAAATTCTCCAAGATTTACACTGGCCAAGTTAGGACTCATATTTTCATAGCCCTTGAACCTTGATTTGCTAGTCTACTTTCTACTTTGTTCACTGCATAATGAATGCCCAGCACATTATAATCATTCAGTTATTGAACTAAGCCTCTGCATTCTCAATCAAGGTTTCTTCCCATATAACTAACTGAAAAGAAACAACTGAAGCAGGTTTCTGTTATTTTGCAAAACCAAGGTAGTATAAAACTTGGGTGCACTCAATATGCAAATTCTTATCCAGAACCCCAAGAATGTACAAGTTGCTGCTATTGTAGAATTGTAAGTCTATACAAAATGACCAAAACAAAACAAGATTTGGTTGTTGTAATTGTTTCCCTAACAAGATTTAATTCCTAAAAGCAAGGTCTCTACTTCTACACAGAACCAATCTCCAAGCCTTTAGTAAAGATAGTATTCAATGTAATTCTATTCCCCTTAGATTCCTCACTAACCTTTACACATTTATCAGGTCAGGTGTTTTAAGCACTTCTTTTGAAATCTGTCTTCCAATAATGTGTTCTTTGCAGTTCTTTAACTATGGCTCACACTGCCTACCACCCCACATTTTAAGTGCTAACACTTGCCTATGGTTCAACACATCAACCAAATGCATCTTGAGTATCATTTTTGCATGATTTGAATAATTGCCTTTGCTGAAAAACTTGACATGTTAATAGTTCTCTAGAATAGTACTTTGTCCACTTAGACCTTATTTTATAGGGTCTAGGAATGTGATAGGGAAATGAATAGTTTGATATTTCAGGTCACCTTGTACCTACTCTTAAGGTTAATTCTAGTACAATGAACTGTGGGTACAAATTCACTTAAATACTTACAACCCATCTACATACCCATGTTCCTAAAGAACCCTATGCCTGATACAAGCTAATTTATTTCTTAAGATATTTCTTGTAACTTTCCAACCTTCAGTCCACGTAACCCCTTTACTTTATCTAGAACATAGTTGTCAGTTATACATGTATGGAAATTATTTTTTTCTGTTGTTTATTTTTTATTGAATATTTTTATTTTATGTATATGCATGTATTGCCTGCATGTAGGTCCTTCTATGGAAATTTTACATCTCATTTAAAAATGCTTTGCTTAAAATTTTTATACCCTAATTCTAAACCTAAAACATCTAATATCAGTAACTCATCAATTTCTGCTATGTATATGGTTTATTTTATAATCAAATATTTAAATGAATCTTTTGCAATTAATAAATTAAAACAAGCTGCTGTCTATTATGTATGTGGGAAGAAAAAGTTTCTCTGAAGTAAAGGACTTATTTACCACAGTAAAAAATACACATACACCCCCACACCCAAACACACCCCTTCTTTAAACATAGGAAATATTCAGGATTTAAGAAATGTCTTAACAAATCAGAAAGGTAATCTGATCACCTGATTAAATGGCACATCAAGAGTAAAGTAAAAACCAGAAAGGTCATGGAAACAGCCTAGCTATTTCTAAAAGAAAATAAAACCAACTTTACTTCTAATCACTGTAAATCTCAAGGAGTCTCCTTGTTAAAAATAAGAATGAAACTAAATTATATAATCTCACTATACTATATTACTATATTTTGTATTGCCTAGTAGGTTAAAAATCTAAAATAAAAAAAAAAGCCTAGTAGGTTAAAAATCTAAAAAAGGCCAAAGAAAATCTGTGCTACAATATTTTATTAAAAAGAATGAAAGACACTACAGCCACAAAAAGGATATCAGCTTTAGCAAAGTCTCTTATCCCACACTGAGGTAATCCTGGTGTGTTCTGCATGTAGAAATCCAAGTAAAACCAATGGGCAAGTTCAATCTGAAAGCACACTCGGATTGCATTGTCTCTTTCCTCGCTGGGAATATGCAAAATAAATCGGCTGCAAAAACAAAACACATACAAAATTTACATTTACAAACTATAATGATTTATTTTAATCTATTTAATTCCTGACCCTGGCCCCTCACCAATGTAGAAGAGACCAAGAGCACTCTATCAATACTTGGGGAGAATTATCCCAGGAAGATGAGCCTTAGAAAGAGCTGGATGTGGTGGTGTAACACTTGTTATTCCACTACCTGGAAGACTGAGGCAAGAGGACTCTCAAGAGAGAAGCCAGCTTGTATACAGTGGTTTGAGGCTGGCCTAGGCTACAACAGAGAAACCCTGCTATGAGAGGGGAGGGAGGGAGGGAGGGAGGGAGGG